TACATGCAAAAAAAAAAAAAAAAGCACTTGGAAAGTTTTTAAAAGCAGAATGATAATCTCAGTTTGTAATGATCATTCAGTAGATGTGAAGAATGGACCACAATAGACAAAACTTAAGACACAGAGAAGACAACAGAAGGCTGTGGCAATAATTCCCAGTGGAGAGATCACAGTGGCCTGTATTCATGTCATTGCAGAGGGGATAAGGAGAAGGAAAGAAATGTCCAGAAAGCATTGAGAAAAGAGATGAAACCAAAGATGGCACCTAGGTTTCTGGTGTGAAAACCTGGGTGAATAGGAGATGCCTTGTGAAGAGAGAGAAGACAGGAGAAGCAGGTTTAGAAAGAAGAAGGAAGGAAAAGGAGGTGGATACAGAGCACAGGTGGGAAGATTATCCTCCCCAGGGAGGAGGAACACCTCTTCCTTCTACTCTCACAGGAAGGTCATGGGCAGATGCATTTAGAATTAAAGATATAATAACAGGAAGTTGAGGGAGTGTCCATTCTAAAGCTTCTATTTTTTCCTCCCAATAATAGAAAGCTAAGTCATCTGTTGAAAGTAAGGGCAGAAAACAAGAGAACAATGCTTGGAGAAGAGAACAAAAGATTAGACATAGTTTTTTTGTTTTGTTTTGTTTTGTTTTGACAGGCAGAGTGGACAGTGAGAGAGAGAGACAGAGAGAAAGGTCTTCCTTTTGCCGTTGGTTCACCCTCCAATGGCCGCCACTGCTGGCGCGCTGCGGCCGGCGCACCGCGCTGATCCGATGGCAGGAGTCAGGTGCTTCTCCTGGTCTCCCATGGCGTGCAGGGCCCAAGCACTTGGGCCATCCTCCACTGCCTTCCCTGGCCACAGCAGAGAGCTGGCCTGGAAGAGGGGCAACCGGGACAGAATCCAGTGCCCCGACCGGGACTAGAACCTGGAGTGCTGGCGCCGCAAGGTGGAGGATTAGCCTATTGAGCCACGGCGCTGGCCTAGACATAGCTTTCTAACCACTAAAATGACTGGAGACACCTAGCTGTTTTGCTAGATAGTATTGAAGAGGCAGCTAACACAGTCATATGTTGATAATATGACTAACATTAAAATAAGTGCCACTTAAATGGTCATTGGGTTATACTGTCCAAAGATTATTTAAAATCCTTTTGTAGATACACTTAATAATATCAATAATCAAGTCTACCAGCCAGACCCTTCAGTAAATAAAATAATTTACAGGCGTGCAGCATTCCATATAGTATTTATGAGCTGTGATTAGCTCCCTGAATGTGAAGGAAAAAGTACAGGAATCAAATTGGTGCCTGTATTCAGGAAGGTGATAATTATTCTCCATAGAAGAAAAGAGCTTTATGGAATTCAAGGAGGCCTGTGTAGAGAACTTAGGAAAAGGGTAAAGGATGCAGACTCCTTTTAATAAGATTAACTATTACCTATAACCAGGAGGCTTCTTCCACTTCTTACTATTTTTTATTTATTTATTTGAGAAGTAGAGTTACAGACAGTGAGAGAGAGAGACAGAGAGAAAGGTCTTCCTTCTGTTGGTTCACTCCCCAAGTGGCAGCTACGGAGCTGCACCAATCCAAAGCCAAGAGCAAGGTGCTTCCTCCCAGTCTCCCACAAGGGTACAGGGGCCCAAGCACTGCTTTCCCAGGCCATAGAAGAGAGCTGGATTGGAAGAGGAGCAGCCGGGACTAGAACCGGTGCACATATGAGATGCCGGCACCGCAGATGGAGGATTTACCTACTGCATCATGGCACAGGTCCCCACTTCTAACTATTAAAAACTGTTTTTAAGAAAAAAAATCTATATGGATAGCACAAGAAAATAGCTGCCAGCCAATATGAAAGCCATCATAGAGTGTAATGAATATTGGACTTCTTTTTTTTTTTTTAAGATTGATTTATTTATTTGAAAGTCAGAGTCACACAGAGGGAGGAGAGGCAGAGAGAGAGAGAAGTCTTCCATCCGCTGGTTCACTCCCTAGACCACTGCAATGCCTGGAGCTGTGCTGATCTGAAGCCAGGAGGCAGGAGCCTCTTCCCAGTCTCTTGAGCGGGTCCAGGGGCCCAAGGAGCTGGGCCATCCTCCACTGCTTTCCCAGGCCACAGCAGAGAGCCAGATTGGAAGTGGAGCAGCCAGGCCTTGAACCGGCGCCCATATGGGATGCCGGCACTTCAGGCCAGGGCGTCAATCCACTGCACCACAGCACGGACCCCAGAGTGTTGGACTTCTTAAGTCATGTTTTTACAAATGCATTAGGGATAAGAGTGATTTGAAGAAGAAAAAAAATTACAATTTAGGGACATGGGCATTAGAAAATATCCAGGGCCAATTTCAATCTGCATGAGTGCTCCAACCCTCAGAAGTTGTGATCCCTGTGTGCTCACCTCCCAACACACACACACATACACACAGGCAAATACACACTGCCTTGAAAGAATGACTATGCTGCATACTGCTAAACATGCCAGGAGCTTAACATTCATTAGTTCATATACTTTGACTTTACTGAATTTAATTTTCACAACTCTATGAGAATAGTATTTTAGTGCCATTTTTAGATGTAAGAAAACTAAGGCTTAGAAAGATGAAAAACTTTTCTGAACAGGCTGGATAGTAATTGAAAATGAATATTGATGAAGAATGGGATGGGAGAGGGAGTGGGAGATGGGATGGTTGCGGGTGGGATGGAGGTTATGGGGGGGAAAGCCGCTATAATTCAAAAGTTGTACTTTGGAAATTTATATATATATATTTTTAATTTTTTTGACAGGCAGAGTGGACAGTGAGAGAGAGAGACAGAGAGAAAGGTCTTCCTTTGCCGTTGGTTCACCCTCCAATGGCCGCCGCGGCCGGCGCACTGCGGCCAGCGCACTGCGATGATTCGATGGCAGGAGCCAGGTGCTTCTCCTGGTCTCCCATGGGGTGTAGGGCCCAAGGACTTGGGCCATCCTCCACTGCACTCCCTGGCCACAGCAGAGAGCTGGCCTGGAAGAGGGGCAACCAGGACAGAATCCGGCGCCCCAACCGGGACTAGAACCTGGTGTGCCGGCGCCGCAAGGCGTAGGATTAGCCTAGTGAGCTGCGGCACCGGCCCTGGAAATTTATATTTATTAAATAAAAGTTGAAAAAAATAAAATAAAATTCAATAAATCAGAATGAAAAATGTCAAGATTTTATTAAAGAAATATGCTAACCATAGATAATGCTGTTTCCACTACCTCATGCTTTCTGAAACACAATAGGATGTACTTATCTCTCTACCCTCAACTACTTACAAGTCATAATCCACACAATTAAATCTGACCACACTTGCAAAATCCAATCATTACCCAATATTTAAATTTACATTTAGAGTGAATGGATATATTTTTATTTAAATAACATCTTCAGCTTTTGAATGATAGGCACATTAATTATCTTTCCTTTTCTATCATTACAATAACCTTTATAAGGGAAGTCATGACAAATTCATTCCCTACCACAGTCATGTGACTCTGCTATTTGGACTTCATGACCAAACTCCAAATTCAAAGAAAACACTATTGGTCCACACCTCCTTAGATCATCTGCCTTTTGGATGCTTTTGCTTACATTGTTATGACGGGCTACACTGAATGACTCATACTTCCTTCAGAGCCAAGTCTTTTAGCAGACATTTGTAGAGAAAATTTCAGAGTCTAAGATTCAATGATTCGAAGATATTCTCCTCACCAGACCTCCTCCCCCTTGGCCTTGAAAGGGAAAAGAACTACTCTCAAAAACTCTTACATGGCATGACTTATCGTCCACCAAAATAAAAAATCTCCACTCTCTCCCTGAAGGCTGTTCCTATCAGTCCTCCCCAGTCAGGTTGCATTGACTTTGTGCCTCTGCATTTGGAGGAGTAACATCAAGTGTACAACAGGAAGAAAGAGCATTCTCAAATGCTCTGCATAATGAGATTCTCTATTCGTGACTTCTGTGGTGGCTGTCCCTTAGGAATAGAATAGGTCAAGGCCTATCCTGCCACTCCCTGAGGATCTACAGACAGTCCCTGTTATGAACAATTCCCTTGCTTCACAAACCATAATTTCATGCCCCACCTTCCTTTCTGTGTTGAGTTCATCACAAGCATGCAGGAAGTCACTTTCAGATTGAATTCAATTTTCCCCATGCCACTCCCCTGACTCATTCTGAGTTCTGTTGTGAATCGTAAATGAGTGCCAGGCTCTGCATTAATACATTAAATTATTGTATGTTCAAACAATGTATACTGACTAAGCACCTGCTTGGCAAGAAGGAATTGGACGAGAATGACAGGAAATACAAAGATATATGAGTTAGGGCAGGCATATTTTGGGGAAAGTCCTATAAATAAAAAAAGAAGACAAAACTTCAAATCACAGGAAAAATTAATCAAAGTTAATTTTTAAAAGTCATTAAAGTATCTAAATTGTCTTCTCCAATAAGATTCTTCAATTCAGCAGACTAAGGAAAAGAAGAGCTTAAATTCATGAAAGTGGATGTTAAAGAATATTCTATAATTTAAAAAACAGGATTTCTTCCCTTTATATAAATTCCTTCCCTTTATATAAATAAAAAATTAAAATTAAGAAAGAGAAAAAAACTCCCTAGTATAATTTGACCAAAAATAATTTTGTTTTGGTATTCTGTGATGAAACTTTTCAGTGTACTGTGATTTTCCCTTTAAAATGCAGCCATTAAAATTGATAATGAGTGATGAACCTAGATATGATATTTACAAGTTTTCTGTGAATTTCAAATTATATCAAAATAAGAAGTTATAAATACAAGCTGTTAGAAGTAAAATTTTGTGATAGGGATATGTTCAAGAAATAACATTAAGTATAAATGCATGATACAAAGTTGTACCTATGAAATGAGACATAACTGTATTAAAAAGATTTGTACATATGAAAAGCATATGAAATTATATAAAATGAAAACAAATGATTTAGGTAATATTGTTAAATTTTTAAAAACATTATTTCAGAGGCCGGCACCGCGGCTCTCTAGGCTAATCCTCCACGTAGCGGCGCCAGCACACCGGGTTCTAGTCCCAGTCGGGGCGCCGGATTCTGTCCTGGTTGCCCCTCTTCCAGGCCAGCTCTCTGCTGTGGCCCAGGAGTGAAGTGGAGGATGGCCCAAGTGCTTGGGTCCTGCACCCCATGGGAGACCAGGAGAAGTACCTGGCTCCTGCCATCAGATCAGCACGGTGCGCTGGCCGTGGCGGCCATTGGAGGGTGAACCAACGGCAAAAGGAAGACCTTTCTCTCTTTCTCTCTCTCACTGTCCACTCTGCCTGTCAAAAAAAAAAAAATTATTTCAGTCCTTTTACTAAAAAGCCCAATGGCAGAATATCAGGTATGAAATATAAGATCTGAAATATATTTGGGACGGATAGTGAGAAGTCATTTATTATTGTCTCTGTTTTCTGGTTTGTACATTGTATAAAACAATGCCTAAGTAATTGAACAGATCTCAAGTTGCAGTCCTAGAATAAATTTATTAGCCATTAGCTAAGAGGGACAAAGTTGTTGATTTTCAAAGCTGAAAGAGCGCTAAGACCCCTCTATTTAGCTTCCATTTTCTCCTTAGATACATAAACTAATGGAGAAACAAATGATTTTCACATCTTCAATTACAAAATTAGTTGGTGAAAAGGCTAAGCCTAGAATCGAGGTGGTTTTTTTTTAAGATTTATTTTATTTATCTAAAAGGCAGAATTACAGAAAGAAAGAAGGAGAGGGGGCCGGTGCCAAGGCTCACTTGGTTAATCTGCCTGCGGCACCAGCATCCCATATGGGCACCAGTTCTAGTCCGGGCTGCTCCTCTTCCAGTCCAGCTCTCTGCTGTGGCCCAGGAGGGCAGTGGAGGTTGGCCCAAGTGCTTGGGCGCCTGCACCCGCATGGGAGACCAGGAAAAGCACCTGGCTCCTGTCTTCGGATCGCCGCAGCTCCAGCCGTAGTGGCCATTTGGGGGTGAACCAACGGAAGGAAGACCTTTCTCTCTCTCTCTCTCTCTCACTGTCTAACTCTGCCTGTCTAATAAATAAAAAAGAAAAAAAAAAGAGGGAGAGGGAGAGGGTTAGGGAAAGGGAGAGTGAGAGTGAGAGGGGGAGGTGGGAGAAGGGGAGAGAGGGGCAGAGAGGGAGGGAAGGGGTGAGAGGAGAAATGCAGAGAGGGAGAGGGGGAGGGAAGGGGGAGAGGGGAGAGAGACAGAGAGACAGAGAGAAAGAAAGAAATCTTCCATCTGCTAGTTCCCTCTCCAAATGGCTGCAGTGGTCAGAGCTGGGCAGATCTGAAAACAGGAGCCAGGAGCTTCTTTCAGGTCTCCCATGTGGATGTAGAGGCCCAATGATTTGCACCACTTTCTGCCACTTTCCAAAGCACATTAGCAGGGAGCTGGATAGGAAGTGGAGCAGCCTGGTCTCAAACCAGCACCCATATGGGATGCCTGCACTGCAGGCCTAGGCTTAACCAGTTATGCCACAGCACCAACCCATAGAATCCAAATTTTAATACCCAGCCTATTTCTATTATATGTTTCAATTCTTTAGCATGCATTCATTATTCTTTATGAAGTAATCCCAGCATAACCTTCTAAATTTATCTCTTGGTTCTCCCCAACATGTTAGACAGGAATACTTTTTCTTCCACACTAGTCTTGAATCTGCACTTTATTGAATTCTATCCCTCCCTACAAACACTACCCCTGCTCTCCATCCTTACCCTAGCCCCACACACTTGAACTACCCCCTGCTGTCCATACACCTTCTAGTAGTCAATGTGCCAGAAGACTTTTTTCAACAGACAATACTTGGAAAAAAACAAACTGAATTTTAGTTCCAACTGTTTTGCCTGGCAACCTCACAACTTTGAGCATCTACTCAAGTACTTCTCTGTATCCCCGTTTCAAGAAAAGCAAGTGTTCTATTACAGAGACAAGGGAATTTGGAGACAGTGCCTATTAATGAATGAGAAGTATCTTCTGACAGTTTTTGTCTTGTTGTAGCAAGGAATGAGGTTTATGACTACACGATAACATGGACAAAAGCATCACATCCTCGTGAATGAAAAATGACCCTCCAGTATGTTAAGTAGTCACATGCTTTCACAAAATACCTGTCACCTGTAATGTGTTTAATCGTAACTTACCAGAATAAATGAAATTCTTACTGATTTGTGAAATTCCCTCTCTGCTTCTGATTCAGTTCCGCAAGTCATACTATTGGTTAAAGTTGATTCCTTAAGACTTGTTTAGCAAGTTAGATTTTAATTATGTGGGATTTCCTCCTTTGACTCCAGCTCGTTCATAGATCACACATAATAGATGAGAGTCAGTCATTTGAGTGGGAATCTCAAAGCAGTTGGATTGGCAGAAAAATAGGACCTCTTCGCTACTCAGGATTAAAATGTATAGGTAAGCCCTGTTTTTGCCTCTGTAGCTTTAGAAATGTTATAAATGCTAGAGTATATGAACAATATACAGAACATTAAGAAATTTCACTGTGTCTAGCAATCTTCTAGTTATTGCTTCAAGAACTTCAGTGAAAGGCTTAGATATCATTTAGACTGTATTCTTGATCGTGTTTAGATTAGGTATGTGGCTAGTTGACAGGGTTTTATGAAATGAATAAACCTAAAGAGACAGCTTAGCATTATATCATATCTTTAAATAAGGAAGTGTTTTTATATATCCTGCTTCACTCTTCAAAAGTGCAGAATTTTTAAATTCAATCAGTAAAAAACTGCTTTTTCAGAACTTTTTGAGGCATCTGTATTTTAACTTCTGTCCCAGTATCATTACTATTAAATATACTATGAATCTTAAAGTCTTTAAGAAAGTAGAGATACTGTTTTGTCTACATGTTGTACAGTCATGGAATTGTTATTTTCATAAAGATTCTTGCTAATACTCAAGAAAATTGTATGTCTGGTTTATAGATGGTTAATTAATGAATGATTATTTTTATACACTTTCACATTAAAAAGCAACAAGATGGCAACATCTACAGTCATATGGTACAATCTCAACTAAAACAATGAAAATCATTATATAATTTGATTGCTTATGTGTGTTTCTGAGTATATATTTTAGCAGTACACGCTGTTGTTCTATGAACACAGAAGATCATGATACTAAGGCATGCTGTAGGTGGAACAATAAAAGCATTAACAGTGTGTTTTTTGGCTATGATTAGCAGAGCTGGATTTATTTTAAATCTCCTGAACCTTAGAAAACTTCATCAAAATTCAAACTGTTCCAAATACTAAAAATGTATGTACAATTAGATGTATTTATTTATATATGAGTGAAAATGAGTAGTCTAGATTTCCAATAGTAGAATAAAATAAAACAAATTATTTCATATTCATGGAATAGTTATGAGTAATTCATTAAGTAGGTTAAAAGTCTGTGATTTAACTTATATATGGTGTTCTCATTTTATGTGAAAAAAAAAAACACATCACAAAATTTTATTTCTGATCCACTATTTCTTTGTAAACTTTCCATGTGAAAAAGTCTGATAAAGAATACAAAACACTAATCAGGGTTATTATATTAGAATGACAGGGTTGTTATATTAGAGTGACAGTAAATTTATGAGTTATATTTTTCCTTATTTCTAAGCTTTCTGAATAAGAGTATAATATTCTTTTGATAATATCAATATATTTTGAAGGAAATTTTGCTGAAACATTTTAATTTTAAAGATTTTGTTAATTTAAAAAATAATCCTTATAAGTACATCAAAATGTTGATCAAAGGAAAGAAAGACATGAAGTAACGTAAATAATGCAAGAGATTCACAATCTCAGAATATCTTGAAAAACCTAATCTCTGAGCTGATTCACCAGGTACGCAAAATTAGTCAGAGTCAATCTTGTCAATCACAAAAAACTCTTTGGAACCATGGTTTCTATGGCCCACACATTTTGGAATATTGTATTCTTAAATACAATATTCTTAAATTCTTAAATAACAATTTGCTTTCTCTTTTTTATTAACGTAAAACATGTATAACTGCCAATTCGGGTTTTTTCATTGGTTAGTTGGTTAGTTTTTCTAAGAACAAGATAATCAGTGTGACATGACACTCTGGAAATACATTATTGGCCATCGTTCATCGTGAAGGCTCCTGACTAGGAAACAATACATTCTGCGAACATGAGTAAGATCAGAATGTCCAGTGTGCAAGGAAGCATATATAGTGTTTGATTTTTCTTCCAAAGTCCACCTTTTCCCAATTCTTCCATATGCATTAAGGGAGCAAGACATACATAAGGTAGTTAAAGTGAAAGTGGAACTGTAAAATACATATCGTGGGTAATTCCAGGTCATTTCTGCATAATTTCAGGTAAATCTTGAGGTGATTCTGAAATACCTTTAATTGGGAATGGGTTCTCTTGAATGGTTCAATTGCTTTAAATAGCAATTAAATTCTGGGATCTCTTCCAAGTTGTCCTCTGCTGAAATTTCTAAAGATGGTGTGTTTTACTTCTTTATCACCCTGTTCTTTACTGCTTTGAAGAAGCAAATCTTGCCACACATCCCAGAACCTGGCAGTCATATTATCACAATAGAATCAGGTCTCCTTTCAGACCCTTAAGATTTCCAGATTTTCTCAGGCCCAAAAGGAGAGTATCTATGGCCACGAGATTACATAAAATTATGAGGTGAGGTCTGGGAAATAGGATGAGATCTACAAGCTGGAATTCAGAATGTGGTTTAGGGAAAGATTTGAGGTAGATGAGCATATCTCAGCTTAGGAACTGACAAGTCTTAGCAGGACTCCTCCTACCAAAGTAATTTTATTTACATTGTCCTCCCTTTTGTCTGTACTGAGACATGCCAAAGCCAATTGGATGGCTCACCTCCCAAAAGCCAGAAAAAAACATAAGACAAAAGTAAAATAGGTGAATAAAAAGCCATCAGTGTCAAAAACTATAATCTAAACACTGCCCATGTTTCAGTCTTGATTTATGAATTCCTATTTTAACATCCAATACCAGTGAATAAAATTTTCAATTAGGTAAAGGATATATTTCTTCACAGAAACTAGGTAAATGTGCAACTGTTTGTCTCTAAAGTCCCAGAGTTCAAAACAGTTTATTTAAAGTACAAGCTGTTGCCTACACATACCTCAGGTCACAAGCTAAAATAGTTGCCTTATTTAGCATGGCTTTTCTAATGTTAAGATGCAATAGAGAAGTGGCACCAGTGTTTTGGTATACAGTAGAGTAAACTGAAGTCACTTCCCTGGGATTTTATATTTTCTAGCAAATTCTATCTCTCCTGTCCACTGCTAATCTGTCCTCCACAAGGGACTCAGAGGCTAATTCCTCAGAAATTCATTACTTACCTGACTCATGCTGCTCCAGCTCCAATAAAGGCCATCGTTTTGGTACCCCTAGAATAAGTCAAGAGGAAGAGAACTGTATTGACTGTTATAAATTTAACCCAAACTCATTCAATACAATTCCTTAAAAGGTATTACTCCAAATTTAAGATCACTGGAGCAAAAACTTGGCCACAATTTCAATTTGAGAGTGCTCTTTAAGGCTGGCCTTAGTATGAGCTTGTGCAATAAACAAGCACCATTTCAAGTCAACCCCCATTCACTGGATAACATTCTAAGATGTTTGGAAGTAAAATTGACTTTGGAAAAGTTTACACTGATGAGTAAGTGAGCCAAAAGAAAACAAAATTCTACTGAATATTTACAATATCCATTTGTGGGGATGTGAACAAGTCTATCAATGATTAATAAAAGACTATGTGCACTCTGGGTTCAAGCCAGTAGATAAAAGAACCATTGAATATATTGTTTGAAGTTAGACTAGTTTTTATTCTGACACTCTTTCTTCTTAACCAGAATATCTATCTAAGTCTAACATTACAAGAGATGATTTAACACATACAGTCTCCTTCTTCACTGGAACAATCCCATTAGGGTACAATGACATACTACACTAACTCCAAATTTACAGAACACAATTCTCCTCTCCTGCCACCCAGCTGTTGCCTCATTTCTCATCTCTTTCCCTTAATAGTAATAGTCTTCTACAGATCTGTTTAGACCTACTACTTTTGTTTCTATTTCCTTCTCCTTGTTTATCTTTTTAAAATATTGGTATTAAATTTATTCCACAAAAACGAACTTCTGGGTACTGTGTCTATTTAAAAATATAACATCATTACATCCCTGTGGCACCACCACCATTACAATCTTCCACTAACTTCTCTCTCCCCATCCTGCCTAATGCAATTGTTAACTGACTCATATCTTTCTGTAAATTTTAATATCTGAGAACATCCTTGATTATGGAAGTTTTTAAAATTTTATTAACATACACATAAAAGTAGCACACACTTGCATGGTGCCATGTGATGTTTTGTTACATGTAAACATTATGTAACATCCAATCAGTAACTACATCCTCAAACAGTAAATACTTCTTTATAGTGAAAGCATTCAAAATCCTATCTTCTGAATTTTTTTAGAGAAATATATAGTACATTACCCAGAGGACACTTAGATGGTTTCCATTTCTTAGCAATTGTGAATGGTGCTGCAATTAACATGGGACTAAAGATGTCTCTTTCATAGAAGACTGACTTCATTTCCCTTGGATATACACCTAGTAGTGAGAAGTCTAGATCATGCGGTAGTTCTATTTTTAGTTTTTTGAAGAATTTCATACTGGTTTTCACAATGGCTGTGTTCACTTATATTCCCATCAACAATGTGCAAAAGTTTCTTTCCACATCTTCCACAGCGTTAGCTAGCCTTTGCATTTTTCATAACAGGCCATCCAACCAGAATGAGATGGTATCTTATTATGGTTTTAATTTTCATTTAACTGATGATTAATGTTATTGAACATTTTTTTCATGATCTGTTGACCCTTTGCATTAAAATGGCAACTTAATTAATTTTCTTTGGGGTTTTATCATTCATAGATATATCCCTAAAAAGCACATGGTTTGGTTCTACCTGCATTTGAAATTCACATAAATGAGATCAAAGTTGTGCTTTATATGGTATGTAACAGTTTATTCATGTTCATGGCTATTTGATATGCCATTGTAAGGAAATTCTATAACATAAATATCCACTCTTCTGCTATTTTGCTATTACAAACAATATGGCATTGAATATTCTTGAATAGGACTAAATACAAACATGTAAGAGTTTCTACTGGGTATGTACCAACAGAGGAATTTTCTGGGTCCCATGTGCATGATCATCTTTACCTATTTTCTCTTACCCCATTACAAATAGGTTTTCATTCCCACAGCTCTAAAATAGCTCTAGTCTACCTCTTCAGTGATCATTCACATTGCAAAATCCAATGGACACATCTCAGTGTTCATTTCACTTAACTAATTCATAGCAGACCAATCCCTCCTTCAAAAATCTTCATAGAGCTTCCAAAACACCATTGTCTTCTGGTTTTTCTACTATTCACGGACACTTCTCATTCTCCTTTCTGCCAAATTTTGAAGGCTTTAAAGTGCAACCTCTTCCCTTCTGTGGCTCCACTTACTTTCTGTGTGAATCCATCCACACCTGGGGTGATTAATTATTTATAAGCTGAAGCTGTCTGAGAGCAGCCAGTGGTCCCTCAAGTCCACTATCACTCACTGGGAAATGCTCTTGCTTTGAAAGCAACTTTTATCATCATGTAGCAAACTAACCATATTGAATGCTTTATACACAAGCACTTTATTTATATCTATTTTATGCCACTTATCCTATTACTCTTTATATTATAACACATACTTACCCAGTGAACATTTAATATCTGCTTTCTGAGTGTCTAACTTGTGTAAGGAATCTGTTTGGTACTAGGCATTCAGAACTGGAACAGAAATTTCTGAGCCTTGCTTTCATGTTACTTATTGGGAAGACAGACACAAAAAAACTAGACAAGCAAATGTCTATCAAATTATACTTGTATTAAGAGTAATTAAAAATGTAAGGACTTTGGTCAATTAAGATGAATGGAGACAACTGCCATTGAAGCCATTTATTCTGTGGAAATTTCAGCAAAGCAAATGACAATCTTGGCTGAAAAATCACATTCATCCTGGCCAAGAGGATCAGATCAGTGATTAACATGAGGAAGTGTAATTGGTGTAATGACATGACAGAGGGAGTGGGCATGTCTAGAGGTGCCTGCTTGTTAACACACTAGTTATGGTGCCTACATATCTTATCAGAGTGTCTGGGATTCAGTTCTTGGCTGCAGATCACAATTCCAGGTTCCTACTAATGCAGACCCTGAAAGGCAGCAGGTGTTGGCTCCAGTAGTTGCATCCATTCTCCCTACTTGGAAGATTTATACTGAATTCCCTGATTCTGGCTCCAGCCTTGGTCCAGCCCTGGCTATTACAGGCCTTTGGGGAGTGGATTAATGAATGGGAGGACTCTATCTGCCTCTGTCTCCCTGTCTCTCTACCTCTCAGATAAAATTTAAATTTTTTAATTACACTGAAATAAGTATTATAATATAATAAAAGGAAATAAATCCATCTAGGAATTCATGGAAGACTTCTCTGCACAAGTACTATTGAAGCAGAAATTTAAATGTAGGCAAGAAAGAGATCATGGTGGGCTTTGAATGGTGTGTGAAAGATTTGGGATTAAAAGGAACATGTAAAATTGTTAAGACTTGAAGATAATAGAGACATTGTTTTGCTAGATTGTTTCAAAGATAATACTGGTTCCCTGTGGAGAATAATCCCTGTGGAGAAAAGAGATATCCACTGATGAAGGGAGACAAGTTGGAATAGGGATTTCAGAAAAGGAATTAAGATGGTTTTCAAGAAAGTGGTAGAAGCTATGATAAAACTCAAGACATGTCATAGAAGTAGAAAGGACCAGATTTGGTGTTCAATTAAATTTTAGGAATGAGGGAGATGTCAGATATGATTGTCAAATTTTCCACATGAGTAAGTTGGTGGGTGCTGGTGTCATTCATTGAGAAAAAAAAATATGCCAGGAAACAACCTAGTTGATGGCAAAGGAGAAGTCAACCAATTCAGCTTTGGAAAGGTTCAAAGCAGCACCTGGAGACATGTGAAGGATACAGCTGGATCTTACTGTTTGGAAATCATGTACAGATCAGTGTTTCTCAGAGTGTAATCTTTGGTTTACCTCTCTCTATTTGAACCTTCAGAGTATTTATTTAAAAGGCAGATTTCTGAGCAACATATACAAACCTATTTAAGTCATCTGTCTAGATTGGTGTTGGATACAGGAATTTTTCATTTTTCAAACTCCTCTGGTTTGTGTGCAAATTCTTCTGCACACAAAAATTTAAGAACTGCTGGCTTAGATTGTGACTGAAACTTTCTCAATGAGATCAACCAGAGGGGAAAGGAGAACACCCAGACAAAACACATAACAACATTTTGAAATGGAGTAGAGAAGCAACCAGCAAAAAACATATACAGGGAGTATGGATTCATGGAAATTGAAAGAAAAACAGTGTTTCAGTAGGGAATGCTTCTAAGAAACCAAGGCTTATGCTCTCTCAGCAAGACACAGTATCTTAAGGTAAGAACAATTCTTTAGCCATTTTTTAAAAATGTTCCAGGGTCTAGCAGAATATTAAAATAAGGGCTCAGTAGCTATCAGTTTTCTCGATATTTGTTCAGTACACATTGCATTTATAGAATATCCAGGAAGTCCTGGGGTGCAAAGACATCAGGGTCCCAGAGAAAGAGCAGACAAGAGTTAAGATACTTGCATGGCCGGCGCCGTGGTTCAATAGGCTAATCCTCCGCCTGCAGCGCCGGCACCCCGGGTTCTAGTTCCAGTCGGGGCACCAGATTCTGTCCCGGTTGCCCCTCTTCCAGGCCAGCTCTCTGCTATGGCCAGGGAGTGCAGTGGAGGATGGCCCAAGTGCTTGGGCCCTGCACCCTCATGGGAGACCAGGAGAAGCACCTGGCTCCTGCCTTCAGATCAGCGCAATGAGCCAGCCATAGCAGCCATTGGAGGGTGAACCAACGGCAAAAGGAAGACCTTTCTCTCTGTCTCTCTCTCTCACTGTCCACTCTGCCTGTTAAAAAAAAAAAAAAGAAACTTTCATGCCAGCCTCTCGTGGCACCATCTAATCTCTGCAGACAAGTTTACTCATCTGTATAATAGGTAAGATGGAGTTAACATTTCTTTATTAAAATTTTTATTTATTTATTTGCAAGTTATAAAGGTGGAAAGTGAGAGAGAGAGAGAGAGAGAATGTCTTCTATCCACTGCTTTATCCCCCAGATGCCCACAATAGTCAAGTCTGGGTCAGATCACAGCCAGGAGCCAAAATCTATGGGTGGCAGGGACCCATGTATTTGAGGCATCACCTAATGCCTCCTAGGATGTCCATTAGCATAATGTTGGATCAGAAGCAGAATTGGGGCTCAAACATGGGCACTCTGATATGTGATGTTTGTTCTTAGAATGACATGAGGTAGGTAATATTTTGCATATAAAGAAATTAAGGAGCTAGGGGATTTCCCTGATGCATTGGGTAAGTCAATGGCAGAAGTGGTATTTGAGCCCAGTTAGTTGAACTTCAGAGTCTGTGCTCTTAACTGCTATCTCAAGCTGTTCCCCTAAAGCCTATTAAGGAACAGGGGTGGAGATGGGGAGACAGGTAGTAATCATATGAGCAGACAGACCTGCCTAAGGGAGAAAAGTGAAGACTGAAGAGAATGTAGTAGATGTGGGTGTATCTGACAGAGTGGTCAGACAATTCATCAGTGACAAGAGTTGAGGAGAGGCAACAGGTTTATTCAAGAGGCTAGCAGTCATGAAGAGAGGAAAGGCAGAGATCTTTAGCTTTTGCTCATCTGCAAGTTAGCAGACCTTTTAAAAGAGAAAGGCAAGTAGGGGTGTTAGGGAGGATAAAGGGTTCAGTTGACGGTCAGCAGGTTCCCAAGTCAATCATTTTGACATCAGTTAGGCGAAGTTCCTTTGATGTAAAATTGACTATTTGTAGTTAGTGATTGTAAATAATTCCTTATCTGGGGTCTCACCATTTTTCCCATTTCCCTGCACTCAGTCCCTGGAATTATTAAGCAAGCATTATTCATATGTTGAACAAATATTCTGATTAGTCCCAAGATTTCAGTTAGCCTTTGTGAATTAGAATGTGAAAAAGAGAGATGTATTCTCTTCAGAGTTGGAGATGTAAGGCTAGTCACAAAGGTCAGAATGCAAAAGGAAAGGAAGATGTATTCACTCTGCTAACAGTGGGAGTCAGAAGGAGCTGTCCAGTGAAGGAATGAGGAGGGGAAGAATGGTGTGAAGGTGATCAGGAAGCTCACTGATTCAATGATAGAAGGGAAAAATGAAATCCGGAAGAGGGAAAATTTTATGTGGTGTTAGCAGCTATTCTTTTTTTTTTTTTTTTAAGATTTATTGATTTATTTGAAAGGCAGAGTCACAAAGGGGCAGAGGCAGACAAAGAGAGACAGGGAGGTCTTCCATCAGCTGGTTTACTCCACAGATGGCCACAACGGCCAGAGCTGCAATGATCCAAAGCCAGGAACCAGGAGCCTCCTCTAGGTCTCCCATGTGGGTGCAGGGGCCCGAGCACTCGGGCCATCTTCTTTT